TATTGACACAATTAACTGTTCCTTTCAAAATGTGTTCATAATATTCCACAATGTATGTTGATAAATTTTCATTACAATACACGTTGATGTTCAAGAGATATTTAAAAAGTACACGAATTTTTGGATAACCCCCCGTATAGATTTTGAACATTTTGTATGATACATTTTGTCTCTTGTAACTTCACACCCTTCGTCTAATAAATTCTTATATTTCGATGAAAAAAGTTTTGATTTTATTTGATTTTTCAATACTCTTTTATCTAAATTTTACAGTTACAGTAGAACCCCACTTATAAGACCGCTCCTAGTGCTGTAGAAAAAAGGTCTTAATTTTCGATTGTCTTTTAAAGTCATGTTGTCATCATTGGACATTTTTTTGAGTCAAGATGTTACGATATGATAAAGTGATTTGTAAAATATTCTGAATGAAAATGAAGTATTATCTAGAGCATTTTGGGGGAAAATCATAATTGAACATTTACTCTAGCTTTATTAATAAGTTCAACTTTTGTTTTTAAAGAAAATTCGTTTTGTTTTCGTTTCTTTATTACTATTAAATGGCTTAATATCAGAATGATAATGAAATATCATCAGTATAGTGTTAAAACACCTGTTACAAAACAGTCTGCAAAAAAGCAAAGCCTGAGACCGAATCCAGTAAAATCCCATTTGGGCTATCATAAATGTAGGAAAATAGTCACCAGGGCTAGCAATGTTTTGTTAACAACTTTTGTTAGAGATTTGGGGCTTGTTAAAATTGGTTCGAGCTTTATGGTATTGTACTGGAAAAAGTCCGAATGAATATGAAAGTGAAAAATTTGTGCAGACTGACAAAGGAATCCAATTGAAAGTAAGCACAATTTACAAACAAAGAAACTCAAGAAAAACAAACTGCTAAACTTAATATCAATTGGAAAATATCGTTAAAACAACAAAGCTTTCAATTTTCTTGTTTTGTTACAATTCAGTACAGTATCCCCTTATTATTTCAGCATTGTTTGACATGAGTCGTGAGACAGAAGTTAGTCTACAGCTGTACAGTAGGAAAGTTATGATCATGTCCAAGTCCAACACAATACTTCCAAAATGGCTCAGATTAATGAAAGGTATATCTTTTTCATATGTACACTTTAGAACTTACACTGAAAAATGATGTCATAAATAATGCTGAATTAATATTAAAAACATGTGATTGCTGTATTTTAATGAATTTATTACATAGGAACAGAACTGAAATGTTACATCAGTTATGAAAAGGACATTAGTTCTCTATAACCTGACTTTATGTAACATATATTTATTCAATGACATAGTAGTGCATGTTCATAAAAATATAAAAATGGGAGAAAGGTTACAGGGGACATGATTGCTAGAATGATTTGGTAAATGTTTAAAAAAGATGTAGGGGCGTTCATGGCTGAGTGGTTAAGGTGGTTGACTTAGAATCACTTGTCGAACACAGCTCTGGGTTTGAATCCGTGAGGAAGCTTAGAGCTAGCTTATGAAAAATCTATGGTTTTACTCAGGTTCCTGGAATAGTGCATGGAAGGACAACTAAGGTCTTACTCTACATGTAAAGCTGGAAAGATGCCATATGACCTATACTGTATTGATGCAATGTAAAACATAATGAATAAAAAAATGAATTAATAAAGAAAAACATGTCCAATCTATTGACATCAAATATGTCAAAACTAAGATTAAATATTTTAATGATTTTTAGCTCGACTATTCGATAAGAATAAGTAGAGCTATTGCAGTCACCCGAGCGTCGGCGTCGGCGTAACCACTTATGTTAAAGTTTTTGTAATAGTTCAAATATTTTCAAAGTCCATTGACATATGGCTTTGAAACTTTGCACACTTGTTCACCATCATGACCCCAACCTGTAGACAGGAGGAGGTAACTCTATCAAGCATTTTGACAGAATTATGCCCCTTATTCGACTTAGAATTTACGTTAAAGTTTTTGTAATAGTTCAAATATTTTCAAAGTCCATTGACTTATGGCTTTGAAACTTTGTACACTTGTTCACCATCATGACCCCAACCTGTCGACAGGAGGAGGTAACTCTATCAAGCATTTTGACAGAATTATGCCCCTTTTTCGACTTAGAATTTACGTTAAAGTTTTTGTAATAGTTCAAATATTTTCAAAGTCCATTAACTTATGGCTTTGAAACTTTGCACACTTGTTCACCATCATGACCCCAACCTGTAGACAGGAGGAGGTAACTCTATCAAGCATTTTGACAGAATTATGCCCCTTTTTCGACTTAGAATTTACGTTAAAGTTTTTGTAATAGTTCAAATATTTTCAAAGTCCATAGATATATGGCTTTGAAACTTTGCACACTTGTTCACCATCATGACCCCAACCTGTAAAGATGAGGAGGTAACTATATCAAGCATTTTGACAGAATTATGCCCCTTTTTTTACTTAGAATTTACGTTAAAGTTTCTGTAATACTTCAAACATTTTCAAAGTCCATAGACATATGGCTTTGAATCTTTGCACACTTGTTCACCATCATGACCCCAACCAGTTAACAGGAGGAGGTAACTGTATCAAGCATTTTTTTTACTATCAAGCACTCAGAATAGTCGAGCATTGCTGTCCTACCGACAGCTCTTGTTAAATTTTGTTCAACATAATTTCTTTATGCTTTTGTATATACATTTGATGAATATGTTTGTAAAATTGTGGAATTGTATATTTTTAAAGTTACTGTATAAAGTTAACTGTCTTGTAACAACTCTCTGCTTAAATTGAGTGGAATGTCTTCACTGTCAACAACTCCTGTAGGTATAAAGAAATTTACAAAATATTAATAATAAATCAAAAAAATCTTCATTTGATATCAAAAGTCTGAATATGTTATTTTCTCTGACTAAATCATTTAGTTTTAATTATGTTTTATTGTATTCATATTGTATTCTATTTTCATAGGATGACAAATAAAGCTGGACACTAAATATGTTAGTATTTATCTGTAGCTGTTCTACAGAAATTAGAAACATTCTCATGTCACTACCATTGCCTTTCTGTAGAACTGCATGAAAGTACACTAACATATACATAATAATTACCAACACCCTGTCACTAATGATGATTTTAAATTGTAAATGTTTTCAGAAATAGGTAATACTTAATTGAAAAGACAGTATACAGCTATGTAATACAGTAAATGCTTATTTTTTGTGAATTAAGAATACTTTTTACATTGAATCAATAATTACACTATGTGCTTTGTATCTGAACAGAAAACATATCTGCACATTGTTTTTCATTTGACATGCTTAAATAAGACCCTGACCCCAAAACTCACTATGGCAAATTATATCTGTGGTACTATAATTTGTTGTGGTTGCATTCTTGTTAGCTTATAATTTAGTGTTGTGTATGCTAGGTAACAATAAAATAAAGTCATCAAATAACATTTAGCTCTAGAATTCGGACTCCTATTGATTGCATCATTCTGTTCATCTTTCTGCAGGTTCATTTGTAGGTCATTGTACTCAATAAAATGAGGCCTAAAGAAAGATTTTTTGTTGCCAGTAACTTACAAACAAAGACGCTCTATTTTGTTTTATTGAATTTTGTTAAAAATTGTTTGTTTTTGTCAATTTTTGTTGAATTGGATTTAAATTTGGGGAAAGCACATTTAAAAAAAACTTGCCTGGTGTTTCATGTGCATAAATGAAATTTGGTATCAGTTGAGCTGTTATTTATATTTTGAAACATACCACCTACTTTCTTTTTGTTTTTTGATGTACAGACTTGAAATTTGGACCAGGAATGTTATTTCTGATGCATATTGAATTAAGATAGTAACTGACTACTTTTGATATTAATGATATCGTTTGACCTTGTTTCTTGAAATTTGGACAATGGGTTTAATTTCTGATCCTGAATTGAATTTTTATATCCACTTTTCATACTTTTTTTTTCATGACCTACTTATTTTTCTTATTCTTTTATGTACAGACTAGAAATTTGGACCATGGGTGTAATTTTCTAATGTCATATTGAATTATGATATCAGCTGACCAACTTTTGATATAATTAATATCAGTTGATCTACTTTCTTGCTTTTTGACATACAGACATGAAATTTGGACCAAGGGTGTAAATCAAATTTTGATATAATCTGCTCTATTTTTGATATTTCACCTACATGTACTTCCTTGTTTTTTCACATACAATCTTGAAATTTAGACTAAGGGAGTAATTTTTGATGTTGAATTGAATTTTTATATCAGCTGACCTATTTATGATTTATTTGACACCATTTGACCTATTTTCTTGTTTTTTGATATACAAACTTTAAGTTTGGACTGGGGGCTGTAATTTCTGATGTCGAATGGAATTTTGATATCAGCTTACCTACTTTTGATATTTTTGATATCGCTTGACATACCTTTTGTTTTGTGACATACAGATTTGAAATTTGGGCCATGGGTGTAACTTCAGATGCCAAATTGAATTTTGATATTATTTGACCTACTTTTGATATTTTTGATGTCATTTGACCTACTTTCTTATTTTTTTATTTACAGGGGTGTAATTTCTGATGCTGAATTGAATTTTGTTATCATCTGGCCTTTTTTTTGATATTTTTTACCTTGTTTGGCCTTTTGTCATTTATACAGTTATGCTAGGCCATCCTTAAAAAATGTTTGTTTGCAGTAACCCGACCCAGAATTTTCAAGGTGGGTAGGTAGGTCGATTTTTTTTTTATTGAACTGTTCTACCAAATAAACATGATATTTCAAAATGCTGGTAACAATTAATAAATTGATAACTGAATTCTTATTTAATAAGACCTACATTTTATTTCTTCTATTAATCTTTAACAGAACGAAAACAAAGCACAAGGCATATTTTTCTGATTCAAAAAAAAAATTTATTCAGACCATGAAAAAAAAAATTTAGTAGGGGCAAATTTTGTGAGTCGGTCGCGTTACTGCAAACCAACATTTTTAAGGATGGCCCTACCATATAGGATGTATAAAAAGTGTGTTGTCCCAAACTGTAAACACCTTACATATTTTGCATGTGACATTTTGTGTATTCATTCACAAAAGTTATAAAGAAAAAATGTTCCATCAAAATTAACCCTGCTGTAGTGGTAACATTTTCTGCATTATTTTATTCTACATAGTCTCATGGGAACAAACTTGCAACTTAGATATTTTTCAACAAAGCCTTTCAAAAATATTAGGGCAAAATATTTCAATAACTAGAAGGGCAAGTAAAAGTTGAAAAATAACACTGAAAAACAGTTGTTTCTGGTGAGCGACTCTGGTCCTCTTGTTATGAAAAGCACTGAATTATGGGGATTTTGGGGATCACAGTACATAAACATTGCCATGGATAATAAACTAAAACCTTATACATACGTACATATATTCTGATAATAAAACACCTGATAGAAAAGTATGGCTATATCAGATTTAAGTGCCCATCTAAGCATATAGAGTATGTGTGTAGATATAGTCAAAATATCTTAACATTTTGCCCATGTTTATGATAGTTTATAGGTGTGAAGAAAGTTGTCATATTTCTCATCATTTTTCTTAGCACTGTAATATAGCTTCTTTGTTTCTTCACACCAGCAAATAGCATATGGATTTTTCAGATCCTGCATCATCTCCTTTCGTATACAACAGTCTCCTGATATCTCTTGTATAACCTCTCTAACCAAGTCACACACAAAGACAGTACCATCATCAGACAGTGACATTCCTCTAGGGGTTCTGATACCACTATAACTACCAATCATATCACCCTGCCAGTTTAATTTTGTTATTGCCTTCATGTCACAGTCAGATACATAGATTGAACTTCTGTTACATGTGATAAACCATGGATCTTTGAAAATATTTTTTCCATCAATTGTTTTCAGTGTAGTGCCATTCATATCAAGGATCTGAAGTTTTGCAGGATTAAGAAATGACACAACAAATTTACCTTGGTAACAGCTAATACCATAACAGTCTCCACCAACCTTTACAGTGTGCTTCATTATGAGTTTATTTGATGAGATTGATATAAACTGTATTGTTTGTTTGTCAGGAAGTGTGACAGGAAATTCAGTACTGGTTACTGTGGTGATATCCCATGGTCTATCATCTAGTTTTAGTTGATCAGAGACAGATTGACTGCTGGTATCCACCATCTTTACAGCATTGTTAGCGTAGTCTATGATGATAAGAAGATCAGGAGCCAGCAGAGTCATTCCTGTTATAAAGCACACATATTCATCTTTTGATGTCTCCACGCAGATTTCTCCCTCACGTGAAGATTGTCTAGACTTTATGAGTACAGATTGAGATTCTGTATTAAAAGTTTTCTGTATCAATGTCCCCAGTGACTTCTCCGTTTTGAACAGATTTGATATTACATCATTTGATTGAAAGTTGTATTCTTTGATATCAAACGATAACAGTGTTAGTAGTTTTTCCTTCATAACTTTCATTTTGTTCTCTGCAAGTTTTAAATTAATGAAGAGTGTGTCAGCTTGTTTTGTTGTGTTGAGATGTTTGATTTTGTCTGATGATATCTTCAGAGATTTGGTAATATCTTCACATGTTGTTTCTGCTGCTTTCAGATGTTTGTTGTTTTCTTGTTGTATGACATTAGCTGCATGTTCAGTTTGTCTCTCAAGTTCATCTAGTCTTTGGTTGATCTCTTGCCGAAACTTTTTGATTGCTGCCAATGATTCTTTGACGAAGCTGTTTGAATTATATGTCATTTTCTTGACATCTTCTACCTTCTGTTGAAATTTGTCAGAAGTGGTATTTACTGCATTCAAGATTACTTGATATTCTTTGCTGTCTAATATATCACCAGAAATGTCTGGAATGTAATCAACTTTGCAGGAAGTAGTTTGGTGTTCAAGGGTAACGCAAACACTGCAGAGTAATTCTACATGATCATGACAGTAGCACTTTATCAGTTCTTTTGAATGTTTAAGACAGGGTGAAGTTAAGTCATCAGATTGGCCTGTGTGAATGGATGTTGACAGTTGCTGCAAAACTTGAGGCATATTCGTAGCGTCCTGAAGTTTATGATGTTTGGAAAGCCTATTTTTGTTATGTGCTATAAAGCATGTCTTGCAAAGGTGTTCCTTGCAGTCAGTACAGTAACCATGGACAGGTAGTCTAGTTCCTTCCTCGTCACAAGGCTGGCAGTAAATTTGAAGATCTTCATCTGATGCCATGGATGTTGTTGATGATGAAAATTGTTTTGATGCTTTCTTTCCTGGGACTGCCATATTTTACCTAAAATGTATTATAATAGACTGACTCCTGAATTAAGAATTTTTAGCGTTTTCCCAGCTATTCGTAGCTACAAGCAAACTTTTACAGTTACAAATTTGAAAATAAACTCAACAGGTTGACTAATCTATTGTGTTGGGTAGTATACCGTGAAACTATGATGGTAAGATTATTTGTACCAACGGATTAGCTGGAAAAAATCCACATTTGCAGATTTCTGGATAATATCTATAGATTACTATGTATTGCATGTTTTCAAAAACATACAGCTCGAGATTGATCCGAGATAAAGTCTAGTTTATACTTACTTCCATGACTTTTTTTGTGGTTAGAAATATTCAAGGAAATATACATTGTTCATTTCATATTTTTGACTTTTTTTATTTGTGATGAAAGTTGATGTTATGGTATGTAATTATGCCCCCACGAAGCTGGCGTATATTGATTTGCTATTTGGTTGGTCGGTCTGTAAGTAGACCACTTGTTTTCCTCTGATTATCTTACAAAGTCTTCATAATACATGCACTTATTGGTCATAACTAGTAGATGACCCGCCTTTTGATTTTGGAATTGCTAGGTCAAACGTCAAGGTCACATGGACCTTTAATGTCAGAATGGTTTCCACTCATTAGCTTGAAAGCTATTTATCACAGTCTTTATATTCAACATACTGATTAGTCATAACTTGCAGATAACCCCTTGATTTTGGGGTCAATAGGTCAAAGGTCAATGTCACAAGGGCCTTAAATGCTAGAATGGTTTCCGCTCATTATCTTGAAAACTATTTATTACAAATTCTTCATATTTCACATATTGATTGGTGATATATAGTTGATGACCCCAATATATTTTGGGATCACTAGTTCAAAGGTCAAGTTCACAGCGACCTTAGAGTGGGTGGACCAATGCTCGCCGTAAAAATACAATATTTTAGATTTAAAAAAAATATTGGCGTCAACTTACCTTAATGTTAAATGTTCATTTTATAAGACCGATGATATTGTTTCCAATCACCATTGTTTACATTTCGCTGATCACATAATGACGTTTTTGGCGGGAGCTAAATATAGCCCGGATAAACAGGTGCGGATAAAGTGAAATTGTACCAAACTCGGCGTACTGTACAATGTGGTCCAGATTTGATTTTCAAAATATTTATTTTCCAATGTGATGAAGATAACATACTTAATAAATTGTAATAAGCAATTTAGTCAATAAATTTATTTTTACTTTATTTTTTGCAACCCCTATATGCAAGTCTCATAAAATTTCAAATATTGTTTTCTTTTCAGCCTTTTTTCGAAACATAACACGGACAGTACACATATAACTAAGTTTTAACATATAATCATATCAATGTAACCAACAGTTCATTAAGTAAATTGTATTTTTCCAAATAAAGCAACCAGGAACAAAGTCTTATCAGATATCACTGTATTCATGTCAGACTGTATAAATCTGTTATCATATTATTCCTCTGTTTTTCGACAGGTATTACATAGCCACAAAGTTTCACAAACAAGACTTATATCTACGTCTGTCTGTTCAGAGGAAAGAAGGCATTCATAGTGATACCAGGTATCACACCTATCACATCCAACCCAGTACAACTGTCTGCTGGTCATACAAATTTCACAGACACCATCGTCAAACATAGGATCAGCCATCACTGCTGTACCAAAGACACACTCGGGCAAGGGAGATAAAGGAGTGGATTTTAACTATGTTTAGATTCAACAACCCTTGCCTTATCATATGTGGTTCTGCGTTTTTTGGAAGGCTCTAGTGCTGGTGGTTCTACAAAAACTTTAGCAAGACTTTCGGGTACCATCCCGATTTTAATAAGCATATTCGGAACCTGGCCTGAAACTGATGCATCTTTTGACACATCAGTAGTGCTAGATGTGGACTGAACATTTTTAGCTCGACTATACGAAGTATATGGAGAGCTGTCCTACTCGCCCCGGCGTCAGCGTCGGCGTCGGCGTCCGCGTCCGCGTCCAGATTTTAGATTAAAGTTTTGGTGCAGTAAAATATTTTTCACTATAACTTTGTCATTTCTTAAGGTATCAACTTCAAAATTCAAATACATGTATATGTTCCTTATCATCAACCACATCATATGTGAAAAGGTTCATAACTCTAGCACCAATATTTTCAGATTTATCTCCCCTTGAACTTAGAATTTTCCTCAAAAAGTACTATTTCTTACTGTTTCTTCTTTATTTCTTAAGGGATCAACCTCATACTTCAAATGTATTTACGTTATCATCATCCCCATCTTATGTGACAAGGTTCATAACTCTAGCACCAATAGTTTCAGATTTATCTCCCCTTGAACTTAGAATTTTCCTCAAAAAGTACTATTTCTTACTGTTTCTTCTTTATTTCTTAAGGGATCAACCTCATACTTCAAATGTATTTACGTTATCATCATCCGTTTCTTATGTGACAAGGTTCATAACTCTAGCACCAATATTTTCAGATTTATCTCCCTTTGAACTTAAAAAATATATATTTTTACTGTTATTTATTTATTTCTAAAGGGATCAACTTCATACTTCAAATATGTTTACGTTATCATCAACCACATCTTATTTGACAAGGTTCATAACTCTAGCACCAATATTGCAAGAATTATCTCCCCATAAACTTAGATTTTTTTACTAGAAAAATGTTATTTTTTATTATAACTTTTTTATTTTTAAAGGTATCTACCTCAAATTTCAAATACTTATTCCTTATCAACAATTACATTTTATGTGACATTGTTCATAACTCTTGATGCAATATTTACAGATTTATCTCTCTTTGAACTTAGGATTTTCTTTAAGAAATATAATAACTTCTTTTCTTTTTAAGGTATCTACTTTAAACTTCAAATATATATTTCTTATCATTACACAAATGTTGTGTGACAAGGTCCATAACTCTAGCATGACTATTTCTAGAATTATTCCCCTTGATCTTGGAATTTATGTTAACAAATATTATTTTTTTACTATAACTTAATACATAATTATACATAAATGATTTTTCTTTCATAGTTTTGTCCTCCTTACTGCGTCCAGTATTTCATTAGTCGAGCTTCGCTGTCTCCTGTGACAGCTCTTGTTTATTTTCTTTACAGGACCTGCCAAAGCTTTAGCAGAAGACTTGTTATAGGGGTATATTCCTGTGGCAGAAAAAGAAGCAGCAACAGTTGCAGGCGTAATCCTGTTCATAGCCTGGTGCAAAACCTTTTGGAAACAAATGCCGAGGCAGAGATCTAGTGACAGCATAACCAAGGCCTGACAAAATTTCACTTACCTTTGCTTTCAAAACATGAAAATATCCCACATCTAAAGGTTGCAGTAAGTGGGATGAATGGGAAGGGAAATACAAGAGATCAATACCATTCTCCATAGCTAGGTTTACTACCCTACCTGAAACATGGGATAAGTGGTTGTCCATGATAAGCAATCAAGGTCATCTTTTTCCACAGAACTGGAGAAATATTTGCTCAAACCACAGGCAAAAATATGGGTTAATGAAACCAGAATCTGTGGTCTCGAACAACCAGTTATCAGGTAACCCATCAGAGACGGAGGCCTTGGGCAGAATTTTATAAAAAATGATTAATGGTGGCAGTGTCTGGCCAGAAGCTGATACAGCAAAATTCACGGTGACCTGACCAGACAAGGACAGCTGTACTTTAAAAGCTTGTCTTACACCTTTCTTGGCTACAACAGACTGATAAGAACTTGAAAAACTACCACTAAAACCTGTTTCATCACAATTAAAAATACGCGTGGGATCATCATAGAGAGACAAACGTTTAAGGGTATTATCTAACAATTCAAAGTACTGGTTTAACTGTTAATTAGTGATAGAAGCTCTGGCTCTATCAAGGCGGTGAGCATTTCTAATTAGAAGTTCTGGGTGTCTTTTGAAGAGTTTCCTCATCCACTTGTTTGAAGGTCCTTTCTGGGTGTTTATAACAGTATTTCGACCTGTGGCCATAATAACTTCTCTTGTGAGGTTTTGAACCATTTTCTTTGAAAGAGGAAATCCTCTTTCAGACATGTAAAGTATGTAGGACACATTGTTGCTTCCTCCTCTGGTGTTATTATTGGTGTACGCCCAAAAGAAGTATTTAAACCTCTGAAACGCCCTCTGGTATGGTCCTTCAGAGTGGACTGAGGAATTCCATACAAGTGGGATGCCTTGTAGACAGATATCCCCCTCTTTACTGCGGCCACAGCTTTTGCCATCTGACCACTATCATGAATTTTCTGTTGTCGTGGCATTTCTGAATCAAACAATGAACAAGTTGCAAATAGGATTAACACCGTATAAATCCATGCTGTTCGTTAAATTTCAATTGTGAATTTTTTTAAGAAAACATGAAAATACATTGAAATTTGATTTCTCTTCCTTATAAATAAAAAACCCTTAAATTTTTACCTGTTTAATCGCAGAGATTGTATATAAAACAAGACCACTCGAGATCGGTACGGAATTTATTCAGACCGTCGTCTGCTATTACGTGGTCACGTGACTTCGACAGAAGTGAACCGCACCAGGATAAAATCGCGATAAATGTAAATAAAAGAACCGGTGACCTAAATTGGGTATTCTGTTAAATATTTTCAGATATTCGTACAGAAGTACTATTTTTCGCCGAGCATTGGTATACGCCGAGCATTGGTCCACCCACTCTAGATTTAAGAATGGTTTCCACTGATTACCTTGAAAACTTTTTATCACAAAGTCTTTATATTTCACACATTGATTAGTCATAATGTGGTCACTAGTTTAAAGGGCAAGGTCTTTATATTTCACTTACTGATTGGTTATAATTAGTATTTCATTATTTTGCCACCCCCCCCCCCCTTCGAAGAAGATGGAGTATATTGTTTCGCTAATGTCGGTCTGTTGGTCTGTCTGTCGGTCTGTCGTCAGTAGACCACATGGTTTCCGCTGATTATCTTAAAAATTATTTATAACAAAGTCTTCATATTTCACATAGTAATTGGTCATAAAGAGTAGATGACCCATATAGATTTTGGGATCACTAGGTCAAATGTCAAGGTCACAGGGGCCTTAAATGTCAGAATGGTTTCCAATGATTATCTTGAAAACAATGCATCACAAAGTCTTCATATTTCACATAGTGATTGGTCATAACTAGTAGATGACCCTATTGATTTTATGGTCACAAGGTCAAAGGTCAAGGTCACAGGGGCCTTAAATGTCAAAATGTTTTTTCGCTAATTATCTTGAAAAGTATTCATCATAAAGTCTTTGTATTTCACAAACTGATCGGTCATATGCATTAGATTACCCCTTTTGATTTTGGATTACTAGTGTCAAAGGTCAAGGTCACAGGGCCCTTAAATGTCAGAATGGTTTCTGCTCATTATCTTGAAAACTATTAACCACAAAATCTTCATATATTTCTTTTTTCCATAACTGAACACTTCCATGAACCAATTTATTGCAAGCTTCTATAACAAAATAACCAATAATGTGAGTCAAGGGCTGGAAAGGGGGGCATATGTGTGGTTCGACATTTCTTGTTATTAAAAGCTTATATGTATGCCACCTCTACATAGAGAGGTGATATATATTTGCCTTTATCTGTCCATCTATCATGCTGTCCTGCTGGTATGTTGTCCTTCCAAAGACTGACAAAACAGTGGAAGGTGGGGGCATCAATATATTATGTTTATTTTTAATTATTATTGTTTTTGTAACATATTTTTAGAACTAAAAAATGGTTTAATTGGTACAGTACATGCTAGTTATTAAAATCATGTAGAATATTATATTGTTTATTATCTAATGCTATGTTATAGTGTATGTATCAATTACAATGTAACTTAGTTTATTTAAGTATTTTATATCAATATGATTATCCGGCCATGTATGATAAGGTGATGTAAAAGGTAAAGGTTGTATGCAAATACATTTACAGCAGACATTTCAAAAATTGTTTTGACATTTCACATTTGGATATCAGATATCTTAAAAATATCCCTGGACTAATCAGTTTACCCTGGATCAAAATATAATAGAAATCAGGAAAAAATGGCAGTCTGTTGAATTAGACCCTGCTGTTTATTTCAGAAGTAAAACTTGTATATTATAAACTAAAGAAAATAGGATAAATCATTTATTTATATTTCTGGTTTAAGGATAAAGCCCCCCCCCCCCCTTCCACCACACCCACCAAGAAGACAATTGTTACAGTTTTATTTAACATATGCGAAATGCCTTAATTGTCCTAGTTTCTTCAAAGCAGCATTAGTCTTTGGCACTTCATAAATGCCAAATCTAAAAGGTCTGAAATTTAAAAGGTCAAGGTGTGATTGACCTTTTATTCCAAAACAGATTCCAACCAATAACTCTACAACCCATAGGCCCTAACCGTAACTATGTTGTGCCTAATTTTTGAGTAGGTAAAAGGGCAGATAATCATAAAATTATATTATAACCAAAAAAAAAGTATTCACTTCAAGCTTCAAATTCTTTTGAGTCTGCTAATCACATTTACAGAATTATACCCCTTCTTTTCTTTGTTGATTCTATTGAATTATATTATAAAGCAATTAAAAAAGTGGAACCCTTTGTCCACTGACCTGTCTGATTACAAATATAAATATAATTAAAAGGCATGCAAAAATAACACAGTTCAGAAGTTTTTCAATACCATGACTTTGTGTATCAAAATATATGTTTATTTGATTTAACTTCTTTTTTTTTAAAATAACTTTATAAAATAAAAATGTTCACCAGTTGTGAGAGAGTAATTTTTTGTAGACATTAACATATTAAATAAAAATATTGTACCTTGAAATCGTAATCCTAAATTTGGGTCACATGTTTCTAATGTAAATATTTTGCTGTTGATATTTTATACGTGGGATTTGCTCCTTTTTTACTTCATTGTTTTTATAACACTGATTAAAATGTAAAGTTACAAGTTTAAACCAGAAAAGTATCAGTTATTTAGTTCTTAAATAAAATGTCTAGTGTGTGTGCGAGAAACTATTAAATTTTAGCGTTGTGTTTTTCAGTAAACTATGTATTTTTATTTATAAAAAACTCCTGATGTTGTTCTTTCACACCGTGCTGAAAAGTTAAGTTGTTATCTGCTCTATAGTTTATCAGTGTGTAAATTTTAAAACTTTATGTTGACTTAGTAGGACAGTTATAAATTGTATTGAGAAAATTATATAAAAGGGGTTTTAAATCATTCAATTACAGCATTGAAAGAAAATGTTTAAGAACTCCCGACTTGTATTTTAAACATTGTTTTCATCTTCACATTGTTATGGTTTTATGTTGGTTTTTGGTGACCTTGGCTTTTGCTTATGGATTTATTTTCAAATTGTGTTGTACGTAACTCAAAACGTATTTGACACAGGGTCATGAAACTTTACAGGAATGTTGATCAGCATGTGTAGTTGTACACCTGTTTCTTTGCATGTGAATTTATTTAGTATTTGTATAGTTATTGCCCTTGAATTAATAAAATTGCAATTTTCAACTTGTGTCACACTAAAGCTCATAGGGTCATGAAAGTTTACAGGAATGTTATTTAACATGTGTAGTTGTACACCTGTGGTTTTGCTTGTGAGTTTATGTGTTTTTATGCCCCCACTTCAAAGAAGAAGGGGGTATATTGCTTTGCATTTGTCTGTCTGTCTGTACGTAGACCAAATGGTTTCCGAGTGATAACTAAAGAACCCTTAGGCCAGCAGATGACCCCTTTTGATTTTGGGGTCAAGGGGTCAAAGGTCAAGGTCACATTGACCACGAAGGTAAAATCGGTTTCTGATCAATAACTAAAGAACGCTTAGGCGTAGGAATTTCAAACTTGGTATGGTGAGTGGTCATGACCAGCAGATGACTCCTATTGATTTTGGAATCAAGGGGTCAAAGGTCAAGGTCACATTGACCGTGTAGGTAAAAACGGATTCCGATCAATAACTAAAGAATGCTTAGGCCTAGGAACTTCAAACTTGGAATGGTGGTTGGTCATGACCAGCAGATGACCCCTATTGATTTTGGGGTCAAGGGGTCAAAGGGCATGGTCAAATTGACCTAGTAGGTAAAAACAGTTTCTGATCAATAACTAAAGAACGCTAAGGCCAAGGAACTTCGAACTTGGTATGATGATTGGTCATGACCAGCAGATGACCCCTATTGATTTTGGGTTCAATGGGTCAAAGGTCAAGGTCACATTGACCTTGTAGGTAAAAACGGTTTCCGATCAATAACCAAAGAATGCTTAAGCCTAGAAACTTCAAACTTGGTATGATGATTAGTCATGACCAACAGATGACCCCTATTGATTTTGGGGTCAAAGGTCAAGGTTACATTGACCTTGTAGGTGAAAACAGTTTCCAATCAATAACTTAAGAATGCTTAGCCCTAGAAACTTCAAACTTGGTATGATTATTTGTCCAGTAAGTATATATGCTCTGTGACAATTGCATGGTGATAAATATTTACCACTCTGTGCTTCTAAATTAGTATTTTTAAGGGCATGAGTGGGTATAAACATGTACTCAACAGCGGAAAGCTGTGGCATATGTAATTGTCAGGAAGTGTTCGTGTGACAAGAGCATAGCTCTTTGGCATGTATCAATATAGATTGAAATAAAGCATGTTTTGGACAAATGTTATAAATGGGTATCCTCTCTATGTTTCAACATTATTTTTGATAACTTTAAATTTTATTTACTTAAAAAAAATTGAATTCGGGAATATATATCCAAGCTATGTGGTGCTCTTGTTTTTAGCTCACCTGTCACAAAGTGACATGTTGAGCTTTTGTGATCGCTTTTCATCTGTTCGTCGTCCGTCCGTCAGGGAACTTATACTTTAAACAACATCTCCTCTTTAACTGCTGAGCAAATTTCATCCAAACTTCTCAGGAATGTTCCTTTGGTATTAAACTTTAAAAAATTTTCAAAGAATTTAATTCCAAGCAGAACTCTGGTTGCCATGGCAAAAAAAACTCAAAATATCTTCTTTTATCAAACCGAAAGACCTAGAGCTTAAATATTTGGCATGAAACATCGTCTAGTCAGTGTCTACCAAGTTTATAAAAAAAAATTCCCTGGAGTTAAAATTGGCCCCGCCCCGGGCGTCATTGATTTTCCTTATTTGTAAATAGTAAAAACTTAAAAAAATCTTTTTTTTAAAAAACCCAAATAGCTAGAGCTTCGATTATTAAGCATGAAACATTCTCTAGTGGGTGTCTACCAAGTTTGTTCAAATAAAATCCCTGGGATCAAAATTGGCCCCGCCCCAGAGGGTCATTGCTTTTCCTTAGAAAAATCTTAAAAATCCTCATTTAAAAAACCAAAATAGCTAGAGCTTAGATATTAATCATGAAACATCTTCTAGTAGGTGTCTACCAAGTTTGTTCAAATAAAAGCCCTGGGGTAAAAATTGGCCCCCAGGGGGTCATTATTTTTCGCTTTATGTATATAGTAAAAACTTAAAAATTTTCTTTTAAAAACCCCAAAGAGCTAGAGCTTAGATATTAAGCATGAAACATCATCTAATGTGTGTCTACCAAGTTTGTTCAAATAAAAGACCATGCGTTAAAATTTGCACCGCCCCGATGGTCATTGATTTTCCTTATATGTGTATAGTAAAAACTTTGAAAAATCTTCTTATAAAAAACCTAAAGAGGTAGAGTTTAGATACTAAGCATGAAATATTTTTAAGTGAGTATCTACCAAGTTTGTTCAAATAAAAACCCTGGGGTCAAAATTGGCCCTTCGAGGGGGGAGGAGGTAATTGTTTTGACCTAATTGGTGTCTACCAAGCTTGTTCAAATAAAAGCCCCTGGTTTAAAATTGGCCTTAGCCCAGGGGCCTATATACAGGCGAGCGATTTCAGGGCCATCATTGCCCTCTTGTTTTCCTTATATAGAATATATACTGAAAAATTCCTTCTATGTGCAACTTATCCTACATTTCTAAAAGAATTTATACCAAACCTTCACAGAATCTTTTTAATCGAGTGCCCTGGTGTGTATTGTCAGGGTTTTAAGATTTGATAATTTTTTACACAATAATCGCCTTTTTTTTCTTTATATGGAATGTATAATGAACACTTCCTTCTGTGCGCAATAAGATATTTTAATTAAACTTGGTGTATAGCAAGCATATGGGACCCTTAGGATCAATGTCATTGTTACTAAAAATAGAAAATCAGTTTCAGGTCAATAACTTGAGTTAAAAGGATTGAGATATTTCAATGAAACTTGGTGTATACAAAAGCAAGGTTAGTAAAGACCTTACTTACGATTGCTTTTTGGCCCTCTGAGTCAAGACTATTAAAATTAAGTTTCTGGTAAATAACTTGAGTTTAGAATGAGATATTTCATGGATACTTGGTATATAAAACGCTTACATAAATATATCTCTTATGATTGCTTGTGGATCCCCTAGGATCAAGGTCAAGATCACTGTTACTATAAATAGAAAATCAGTTTCCAGTCAGTAACTAGAGTTTGGAATGAGATATTTCAATGAATCATGGCGTATAGAAAGCTGACGTGAAGATTTTGCTTGTAATTGCGTTTGGATTCCTCAGGATCAATAAAAGGTCACTGTTACTAAAAAGAGAAAATTGGTTTCAGGTCTATAACTTGATTTAGAAATGAGATTTTATGTATATTCTTCCTACAGTATTTGAAAGTTTCAATTGGGATTGCTTTTGAGCACCAAAAGGGTCATTGTCATTGTTTGTATGCACAAAGTTATACTGTATTTTGCTTTTATTTATATTCCAATGACAACAAAACTTTCAACAATCAAATTTGAAATGAGTATCTAAGTGGCAGATAATCCTGAAAGCCATCTTTGCTTTCCTTTTTTTGACTTTCAATATTTTCTCTTAAACCTTTAAAGTAATGCCTATTTAAAAGTTATAATATTTTATTAAAAATTGGTTATTGATAGATAGTGATTTTTCTAAGTATCAATAGCCAAATTTTTATAAAATATTAAGACATTCAAATATTTTCTGACGAGCCTTAACACTGCATGAGGTGCGCATTTTAAAAGCAAAATTTACCAACAGTATAATATGACCATAGATCTTATTAATACTAAAATGTCATGTATAAAGTAGTCAAACAATAAGAGATACATTAAAAATGTTGTACCTTATATAGTCCTAAAAATTGTTACACAAGTTTGATATTGTCTGCAATATTTACCACAAGTTACTGTATTGTAATCTTAATATCTTGCTGTCGCTATTGGATTTCCTATTCTCCATTGAAATTCATGGAATTTGATACCTATATATATATTAATATATATATATATCTTTTTTCATTGTTTAACTACATTGATTTTTTACATACATTGTGAAGTATACATTATAAAAGTTTAAATTTGCCAATATTTATGTCAGTCATTCAATTAATTATTAGTACATTATGTTTGGGAATGTATTCAAATTTAGTATTGTGTTTAAAACAGCAATTTTTAAATCAGTATTTAAACCATACAGAAAGATAAACTGTTGTTTTCATTTTGAAATTTACAAAGTTGTCCATTTCAGCTGTGCTGATAAATAAAAATTATTACAAGATCATTCTAAAGTTTATTAACATGTTTAAGTTGAGCTATAAGGATCATAAATAGTGTTGAGGAAATGATAAACAGGGATTTTAAATAAATTGAAAAGCACTAAAAACCATCCGGTTTAATATGTCTATAGGTAGAGGGTTGGATTTTGAATCGGGCAACCTTGGTTTGATTCCTGGACGATGCAGGTCACTTTCGTTATGATTGATCATGAAATCCTTTCTACAATCATTTGCACTGTACCTCTGCTCTGGCATGTACAGAAGTTATCAGCTCCTTGTGAAAGTGAAGCAACTAGTACTGATAAACTGCATGACAGCCTGCCCAGGAACAG